GGATGAAAGACTGTGGCCCTGGAGGTGTCACACAGCATGGCATGCCTCAGTTAGCCCTCCTGGGCTAACTCCTGACAGCACAGCAACCACTCAGAGATTAGAGGGTGAGGTCTGTATGGCCAGCATTGGCCACTTGTTTACACATCGAGCTTATGCCTTGCACTAGCAGTGCTGTTTAAAAATACAGCAGTGGTCTGACTCTAACCATGGTTTCTGTACTTATCTCAGAGTCTTCTCCAAGCGACGACTCCATCATGTCCCCACTGAGTGAAGACTCTCAGGCTGAAGCTGAGGACGTTTTTGTGTCTCCCAACAAACCTCGTACTACTGAGGACCTGTTTGCAGTCATTCATAGGTAAGCTAAAGCTAACCTTGCAACTATGAACCATAAAAGCCAGACATCCTTTCCCCAGCTGCATTGTCATCCACTGCAGAATAATTATCTGACAGTTGAGCCCTGTCTTGACCCCATTCATAGCTGTTGTGGTGGTATGACCAAGGCATGCAGAAATATCCCAGCCAGCACTGATGCTGGATGTCATGAAGTCTCACTGGTGCCTGGCCTTGCAAGTATGAGGATGAGTTAACTTTCCTCAGATTGGATCAAATTTGTAATAATTGGCATATGGTACAGTGATCATAACATAGGCTTCACCTAGAAGTTAGTCACTCAGGCCTTTGGAGAAAGCAGATAATGGTGGAGGTGTCCCTCGCCACCAAAGCTTTGCCATCCAGTTGTGTTTCTGGACTGAGTCCCACTTAGAGCTTGCTGTTGCTTGATTTTATAGGCAGTATTTCACATGCCATTATGCTTCCATGTTCTCTAAAGTCATCACATTCTGGCAACACAGTGCTTGGGCACTGATGAGTCTGCTGGGCAAATGTTCATTTCACAGTGCCAAAAAGGAGGAGTGATAAAGTAGTAAGGGTTATACATCTTACATATTATGACTGTTTACATATTATAGCTGTTTGTCTTATAAAATGACGTTTGTGGTGCTAACCATATTAGCAGGGGTCAGGAGTAGCAGGTGCTGGTCACAGGTGTGCATTGTGAGTATCGTTATGGCATGTGTGGGATGCTTTACAAATAAGATCAGGCTGCTGACAAACGCCTAACAAATGTCTGCTGTCAGATGTCTAGCAAACACGTCTCCAAAGAAAACTCCCCACACTGGTTTCTGCATGCTGCCCACCAGCTCTATTCTTATAAATGAGTTGCCATACCAAGAATGAAGAGGAGGCATCTCCTCAAATTTAGAGTATTTTGCATTCAGTTTAAATTTCCAATCACAGCTGAAGTTAAACATTTCTAATAATGAACAGATTATGATGATTATTTGGCTATCCTGAGACTCTGTAGGCATCACTGTCTTTATAAAGAGCAGGTTGTGCATGAATTGTTTTAAAAGAGCCAGGTAAGATTCAGAGAGACTGTGCCACAGTGCCTCATTCCTTGCATGAGAGCTATTATGCTTTTAAGTACTGTCAGTCACTGACAGCCTCTGATATTTGTCAGAGGGATTAAGAGAGACCATGTTCATTTGAAAACACAGTGAATCCGTATAACTCCAGACTAGTGGGAAACGTTGTTCTACAAAGACAGCATATGAAAGAGTGTTTCTTTGTATTTTTACAGATCAAAAAGGAAAGTTCTTGGGAGAAAGGACTCCGGAGATCTGTCTGTAAGGAACAGACTGAGAGCTTCCTCTGGAACTAGCAGCCAGCTTCCCACCAGCAGCACTCTGCCCACCAGCAGCACATCACCCGCTAGCAGCGCAGGTGCTCCCATGAGCAGTCAGAGGTCCCCTGGGCTGATATACAGGAATGCCAAAAAATCCAACACATCTAACGAGGAGTTTAAACTACTGCTCCTTAAAAAAGGCAGTCGGTCTGACTCTAGCTACAGGATGTCCGCCACAGAAATCCTGAAAAGCCCTATTCTGCCCAAGTCTCCCGGAGAGCTGACAACGGATGCTTCTCAAAGCCAGGACGAGTGTCCCTCAGTGACAAGCCCCGATGCATCATCCCCGCTGTCCCCCTGCTCACCGAGGGTCAACGCAGAAGGTTTCTCCTCCAAGAGCTTTCCCATGTCAGCATCTTCACGAGTGGGGCGCTCACGGGCACCGCCAGCTGCCAGCAGCAGCAGGTACAGCGTGCGCTGCCGGCTGTATAACACGCCGATGCAGGCCATCTCAGAGGGGGAGACCGAGAACTCCGACGGCAGCCCGCATGATGACCGCTCTTCTCAGAGCTCAACGTAGGCTCCAGGGACTGCCGACACCATGTGAGCTGAGCGAGGATGTGAATAGAAGAGGCCAATGCTGTAGCAGTCAAAACAATAATTGCAGGGCAATATCAACGCTTAAATGTGCTTGTGTTCATAGGACGCTGGGGAAACAGAGGACTACAGCTGTAGCTATTTATGACCTTATTTTCTGAAAGTAGAAAGATAGGCTATGTCTGTTCTGTTTTCCTTTAGCTTCATTTGGTTTATCCCACTCATTTCTGTTGTCACTGTATATTTCATGGCTATACACTTTTCATAGAGTTCAAAGTGACTTTTTGTGTTGCTTTTTTTTTTCCAGAAGCTGCCCATCTAGAAACAAATCCCTCACTGTAGTGCTTCCCTAGGAAGAAAAATAAAAAAGCAAATGCTCTTGAGGATTGGTATTTTTCTACACAAAAATGAGCTGAAACAAAATTTAGAAGAAATTAACAGAACATATGTAAATACCATATTTTTGATAAAAGTTTGTAAATAGAACTATCAAAGAGTGGACATGTGGCAAACAATTTCCTGCATAATGGCTTTGTTTATAGAAGACAAAAGGAATCAAATGTAATAACTGTATTCTGTGAATACCATTTTCATATCAAACATAAGTTCACGTGGCCATCAATAACCACTTTTGGTGCCATAAGCCTCAAAGAAGACATTTAGCAGTCAAAAGGAATTCTCCACTTCAGATACGAATTACCAGCTGACCGAGATCGGATTGAAGTAACCATTTGTCTTTCTAGCATAGCCCCAACAAGCTAACTGAGAAGTGCAGCTGTGAGTTTTAGCGCAACCATTGGTTGGGAAGACAGGCGTGCTTCTGACGGAACAAAGTCATTCCTAACACAAAGCCCCAAATGGTCCCATGTGAGGGTGCCCCCGGGTCTTCGTGCTAACAGGGATTGATTAGCAAGAATAGACACGAGGAAATAGTACTTAGTTTCATATTCCTATTAGGCTATTGGGATACATAACACAGTCATAACCTGGTAACGATAATCTTTAAACATGATTAGTTTCTGGTTCTTAAGGGAAACAAGTAAACGATAAGCATGCAACAAGCGCTTTCAATTTATCAGTAAATATCTGCGATGAGTTTTCAGTGAAGCTTTCTCTTTGTGCTGATGAGATTCATGCTACCTAAATATTTACCAAAATGACACTGTGAAAATGTAGCTGGGAAATAGGTATGTGTATGCATTATTTATATTCACTGCGAAACTGCAAAGGGGAAAGCTCTGGTTTCTTGTGCCAGCCACAGACGTTTGGGTTTCGTCTGGGTTCACCAGAAGCGTGCACCAGGGTGGGGGATTGGGACGGGCTGGGAGAGGAGACAAATCGAAGCAACTGCTTTGATACATATGAAGGCAGGGAAATAAAAGCTTAATTACTTGAAGTTACTTGAATTTTCTTGTCTTAAAACTGAAAGGATGCATACTTTTAAGCTCAGCCCACACGTTGCTTTATACTTTTAATTTTTAAATGAAATACAACCAGTTGTCGGTCTGATTCTCCTTTGGGCCACCACTGTTTTCACAGCATAGTCCAAAAGGCCCTCATTGTCCAAGATTGGTGCAGTTGGTGTCGATTGCTGTAGGATATGCTTTGGAGTAGAGGAATAGAAGGGATGTTAGCGCAGAGAAATAGTGCAAGAAGAAAGGTGGTACGCAGTAGGACAGATTGAACGGGACAGCAGAAAGAGCATACTTAGATCCTAACGAAATCAACTCAAAGCTGGCTTTAAGCATAAGTAAATGATAGGGAAGTGGGATGTGTGAAATGGGTTTTTCCTTTTTTTTTGCATTTAATCATGTAAAGCATAAAGCCGAAGAGTTTTAAAAGTGGGCAGATTGTGTTTTGAAGAGGAAGGTTCTTATGATTTTAAAAGAGTTTGAGCAAGTCGGAGGGGTTTAACAAATCCTCGGAGATATTTCCAATAAGTGTATTTCCAATACACTACAAAATATGTAATTCAGGGTATCCTACAGTCTTCCTGTGTCGTCTGCTTGTGTGCAGTATGCGAGGTGGAATTACTATGCATGTGGTATGTGTCAACACCCATAGAGCGGTGTAAATCAGAGTAAATCAGCTAAAAGGCTTCAAAATCGGGAAGTCTGAGTTTTAATAAGGGCAGGTGGAGCAAGGTTTTGGAAATAAATGGCTAGTCTTATTAGTAGCTTAGTTAAGAAAAGGAGCCGAAACACAAGTAAATGAGTGAACGTTCTATGGAATTGCTTAGTGTATTACAAAACACTTTCTGGAAGACATGCAGAAGCTTAGATATTCGGAGAAAATAGTTAAGTTTGTCATCTTGAGTCATTTTCCATAGAAGTATTCCCCGGAGCACTTTTATAAACATGTTTGTCCTAAAAGGCATTACATATGTTTAAAGAATTGTTCAAAACTGTCAAGAGAATACAGCTGAATTGCCATTGGTGACAGCACTTTTTGTTACCAATCAACAATTTCATAGATGTCATTTATCAATATATAGACACTAAAAACAACTTGAATTGTGAGGCAGTACTTCACACAGAGAATGGTCAGAGAACAATAACACCAGAGGACAAGCTGTCGAGGGGAACATCGTTTATCTTGAAACAGAGTACAGCACATGCATTAGGCAACCAGTGAAGCATCATTCCAACCCGGGTTCTGTTGTTTGCACTGATGTTAAGGAAGTTACACAGCTGTAAGTTCTGAAAAGTAAATGTCCCCCTTTTTTTTTTTTTTTTTTTTTTTTTTTCTTGTGGCAGCATAGAGGAGATGGGCTAGTTGTAGCAAATAAAGCATATATGTGCTTTTGCCAAAGGTCAGTGATTGAGTGCATTTGCTGCAGTGGTGGCAGATATAGAGAAATACTGTAGGTTAAGACTTAAAGAATTTTAAAAAAATTAAGAAGGTTACAGTGTAACTATTTTGGTACTAGCACCAGTTCATGCTGGCAGAAAAGACAATGGTTTATGGACTTGCATCCATTTTGTATTTTTGTAATATTTGTAAATATGAACTTTTTAAATTGTTGCAAAGATGGTTTCTTTTGTAAAATGTTTTCAAAGTTTACATTAAATCCAAGCCTTTGTATATTTTAGAGCTGTGCAACACTTTAAGTCTTGTATTTATTTTTAGTAAAAACGGTGACAGTTTCATTGTGAACCCCTCTCAAAAAATGTGTCGGAAAAGTTTGATTACCTAGAAAGTGTGTATAGAAACTGCAAATAAACGTGACTGCAATTAAATCACACTTTCCCTTTGCTTGTCATGAAATGTGAACTCTAATCTACTCAACAAGAAGTACGGTATTACCAAAAGTAAGTCTCAGGGCATTAAACATTGCAAACTATTTAATCTTTGTTTTCCCTTAAACTTAAGTCAGTTTGGTTCCTGGGAGATTGAGAAGACTGGGCCTGGAAGCTAGGTTCTCTAAACGTTCTAAAATTGCATGCCTGCAAGTGAAGGGGAAGGGAAGAAGCTTTTGTTTCATCTGTCATTCTGTCAGCTTTTCAACTCTGTACACGAGTTCTTAAAAAAAATGCATGTGGAAAGAAAAGCTGAAAGACAGAGAGTTCTAGTGCCTTAGTGTAGAAAAAATCAGCCTTGGGGAATGCAGCTGAGTTATCTGAAATCATGCCAAGATATGAAGATTTCCCCATGGGTGTGGTACTAGAGTAGTCTCCCAGTGGGAATCAGTTTACGTAAGATCTGCTTTAACCAGATGGTCAAGTATTAAATGGTTACGTAGATCATCAGCTGATGTATTATACACCTCTTCCAATCCAGAAATACAGATAAGCAAGAACTGTAGGAAGAAGTTAACCCACAGAGGCAGGCACAATCTGCTTGCTGCATACTTGTCTATTTTTTTATGCTCAGTGAGAAGAAAATTAAACATTAGACTTCATAAAATATACCCAGGTTTTTTTTTAATGCTATGTGAAGTCAGTGACTTTTGTCTTTGCAAAGTCCAGGCTTCGGCATGTACCACTGGATATGTGTACATAGCATACCACAGTCAAACCCATCCAGTGATAATACAAACAAGATACTATAAGCACTATCACTGCATACACAAGCTCTTCTCAGGTTGCACTGTCTGGCTCAGCAAAGCATCCTATCATGCTATCTAGGGAATGTGCATGGGAAGACTAAGGAGAGTGAAAGGGTTGGTTTTTTGTTTCTAAGATAAAAAGAACATGGGTGTTATAACATATGTGCTGCATCAAAAATATTGGTACTTTCTCTGTAGGGTGCAATTCAAATACACACGTATGTACCCCCCACAACAAAGCTACCTCCAGGCTTTATCTGTGGTATTTACAGAGGCTTGGCAATTCAGCCCAGATACTGGGTCAAATGGGATTCTGTTTGAACTAGCAAACATGAAGAATGTCTTCATTTCCACATCCACCACACAAGTCTTGTTTCAGAAAAGGGACAAACGTAAGAATTCTTTTCACGTAGTGATGTTAGTACTCTTGGGAGTACCTCTGGTGCTTTCATCTGCTGCTCTATGTAACACTTACATATCTGGGAAACAAAGTACTTCCCCAATGGTCTGGTCACTGTATTACAGCCATCCATCTCATTTTGCCTCTTCTTGGCAACCTGGCTCTTCAATGTACCCAGAGCAGCACTATATGTGGAGGAAGCAGCACAGGAGGAGCACTGGGGTGGTGCCAGGCTGCTTTTCCCATCCCTGCAGTGTGTGGGGCTGGATTTCCACTACTCACACAGGCTTCTACCACTGTGGTATTTTAGTAAAGGGAAGCAATAGCCACAACTGCTGTTTTAGTACCAGTTTCAAATTCAGCCTGTGAGAGTGCATCTTGGCAATGAGGAACAATCCCATTATCCCATTACCAAATCTCCAAGACCATCCCTTTCCAAGAGCCCGTTGCACAGAAGCTGGATGACAATCATTAAGACCAAGAGATATGCACACAATTGCATGCCTGCACTGGGGCAGTGATAGCATCATGGGTGGAGACACTTAAAAAGATGACAGCACTTTCAGGACTGGGCAGCCACTCACATAGGTGTTTTGGAGCTTTTATGTGGCTTCCAATAAGCACATACTTTCTGGATCATAGGTATGTCAGGCATCCCCAGTTAGCAGTTTACACTTGTTTAGTTTTATAAATTTGATCTCCTAAGTGCTATGCTGTTAGTTCTGCCACTTATTGGAGTTGGAGCCTTCTCTTGACCTGACGATCCTCCTAACTAGGTAGCTCCTGGGGAACAGGGCACCAAGAGCTGGCAGCAAGCTTAGCACTGATTTCCATTAAGCTATTTGAATTGCAATAATTACATTTCACTCCTTTAATTCTTTACTTGGTGACAGAAGCATGTATTAGGTGTTCTGATTTCTGGATTAAAGTTAGGCTGACCAGTTGTCCACCCAGCTCGTCCCCGTTGTGTTTTTAAGTACCAGCTTGACAGCATTCCCCTGAAATTTTTTTAGTGCCCAATGTTATTGGTCATAAGGATTCTTCAGCACTTCTCTTAATTTCTGAAATGCAAGTTATCCAGCTCCACTGACTGAAGACATTTGCCTTTAATTACTTCATTATGAATGGATAAGGTTTCACAACGTATCATCTGAAGAGACTCCTGAAAGAGAAAATAGAGGAAATGAATCCACATCCTCCAACATAGGCTCAAGGTCGGGATGACAAAACAGGTAAACAGCTAAACACAATCTTTCCCACTCAAGTATTTGGACTGCCATTTAAAATTACCCAGAGTTGGAAAATCAGAAGACCACTATGAGCATTAAAGCAAATTTATCCTATAAAAGGTACAGGAAAGAAAGTTTTCTGATTTTTTCCAAGATGAATTAAAAGGATATGCAAAACAGTAATATTACTGAAAACATTATGAGTAGGTAGCTCTACATACTTTTTTTTAAAAAAAAATCAGAACGTTATCCAGATAGTACACGACTACTTCTCACTATTGCTATTTCAAAATACAGTTACAAATCATAAACCATTCCTGTCAGGAAATAACTGCTCCTATGGCTCCCTTTATATTTACTGTGGGGTCAGAGGAGAGGCAGGAACTGCTCCCTCAGTCCCGAGAGAAGATAATAAAGCCCATGGAAATACCATATCTCAGCAAGTTACTTAATGGAACACAAAAACTGGCCTCCTTGGCAATGGCAACTAAACAGTTAAGAGAAGCCTTGTTTTATAGTAATGGTTTTGCAATATTTAGTATGAGGCTATTTCTCCTTTATTTTTCTCAAATAAACATGATGTCTACAAAAAAATCAATCACCCAATGAGTTTCCTGTGGAAATTCACACTGAGAGAGAAAATTATGCAAGTAACATGACTGAACCTGTGGCTTGGCCACTTTGTTAACCAGTCACAGTGAATCTGGGGCAGGTAGCTTAGATCTATTATAAGCCCCCAGTGCCGGAAAAAGAAATCATCAGATAAAAGCATTTCCATAAGTAAATGACATTCAAAATCTGTAGGAGTGTAGCATTCAGCTACTGAATGATCAAGTTTATTAATATATTTAAAAGGCTGGCACAGGACTATGTTGTTATTACTTGTATTTAGTGTTCATCCTTTAATGTCTTCCTTTTAAAAGGATCTCCTTTGGGTGTTCTTTAAAAGCTTACTGGGCAGCAGATGGACAGCCCTTACATAAATTCTTCACTTGAAAGTAATGAAAACAAATGGTTTTATTACCACATAAGAATGTCACGTCCTCAAAAAAGGATCATCTAGAATCTTTTCTTGGGCTTCAAGCTTCCACTGTTTTATTGGTTCTGGCAGATAATTTAAAGGCAGATCCAAAGCAAAGTGAATGAAATATAGACCATACCCTATAAGTACTGATGCCAAACCACAATATCCTAATTCTATGATCTGTTTCTGTACATTTCACTTTGCCAAGGCAGCTGAACCATCAAACAAAACCTGATCATGCAAATTTAGGCTGTAATTCCTGTTACTTTCGTAAACTCAAAGCACAAAACAAATTCTGAGATCTATGAAGACCAGTGTGTAATCAGACCTAGTTCTGAGCCTTGTTCATCATCTGAAATATCCAACAATAAAAAATACCAAGTTTCAAACCTGAAAAGAGAATCTTTCACAAATAAATAAAGATAAATTTAAGAGTTACTGGATTCAATAAAATCAAAATCTAAGTAACAGAAAATATGGCCAACAAATTAATTCCAGTAAAGATCTTATGGAAACAGATCCAGGAAAAATAAATGCTTTGTAGATCAGGTTTTCTCACTCAAATGTATTATTAGCTGTCTCCTTTCCCTGTAACAACATCCTGACTACCTCCACTTCCTTGAGTTTTCTTTTCACATCTCTCCTTCCTTCTACCTGATCAGTAAGCCACTGAAATGATATCCGTAGAAATACAGAGGAATGTCTATCACTTTATAACATCAAAACTTTCTGAAACAGCATAGTGTAACTCAAAACTGAAATTTCATGGCCTCTAGCGTACTGGATAATTCCTTTTAATATGGCTTCACTTCCTAAAGATTGGACTCCCCTTACCCCTTTCTCAAATATCTCTCTTGTAAGCTCTTCCAAATACCAGTGCCCCGCAAGAGTACAGAAATCAAATATCTGTACAAACTTTTTCAATCTTTACCTTCAATCTCAACATTTCTTTATCCTTATCCTGATTACTTCCTCTCCACAGCAGTATCCCCTATCCTTGACCCTGGTTCCTTTACTTCTTAGTCTGTGTTTTTGTTCCCCATTCAGCTGCTGTGGTCTTCCAAGATCTACTTATTCCAAAATCATTACTTTCAGGGACTGCTTCCTGGGCAAATTGCAAATTGTTGCCCTATCATTTAAAAAAAAAAAAAAAAAAAAAAAAAAAAAAAAAAAAAAAAAAAAGTTTATGTAGAAAAAAATATAGAGAAAATAAAAAACTATTCTGAAAATAGATGGGCTCCCTGTTACTTATGCATTCTACCCTCAACTCAAGTTTTTTTGGGATAATGAAGCTCTTAGCTTAATCAGTGCACTTCCACACCTGCAGTTTAAGAGTGCACTTCCACACCTGCAGTTTAAGTGAAAAGAAGCAGCAGCAAACACCGACATGTTCTGATGAAGAGTCAGTTGCATAAGAAACTGGATGTACCACACTGATGTCATTCAAGATGGAGCTTGTAGATGCTTGTCTTCCACACTGCTAGCAGTATCAAAGAGAGAAAAGCTTGTTCACTAATCCTTCATGTTCTCTTCAAACGCTTATGAAGAAATAAGACAAAGTCTATAAGCATTCCTTTTACACATATGTAATTCTTACACATGTTTTCTCACAGATTAGCTGTCTGATATACATATAGGTCACTTCAAAAGTAATGCCTCCCATTTATTTCCCTGGAAACTACAACAGATACTAAGTCCACAATAACACTATTTGATTGAGCAAACTCTCAGCTACGAAATGCTCCTTGTCACCACCATCACCTATGCATTTTTGCCAGCGATGAACAAGAGTCTGCATGCCGTGCTCATAACAATCCGCACCAGCAAAGATGACCCACTGCCACCACCACTGAAATGCACCACCCACACTTCATTGTGCTCACATCCACTTGTTGGGTCTCCGTCAACATTCAGCAAGCATTGATGAATGTCAACAGGTGCCATTATTCCACATGGCGGAATTCATTTACACTCTTGTGCTTCATCTGCACTTTCATATCCATTCCAGGCTCCCCAGCTGCTGCCACCTACACGTATTTGCCCACAAGGCCACAGTCCTGTGGTAGCTGCTGTCAGAATCCATTCCCCCTCCCACTAATGCTTCAGGGAGAACTGGCTGAAACTTCCCACCATAGCCTCATCCTTACAGAAACTCCTGGCTTCATCTACTGCCTGGGTAACCTGCCCAACCATCACTAGTGTTCCAGTTCTTGCATTCACACTCACACACACAAGAACACTGCCCTTCACTCCATGGAAGAATTTATTATGAGGGTTTACTTGTTCCTCCCTAGTGTAGTTACGTCCATCCCTTTCCTTACTGTTAGTTTCTCCTCTAAGGATAAGTCATCCTGTATAATTCTGAAATGCCCTTCTGCCATATCAAACTACATGTTCCATAGCCCCAGGCACCTACCCCTTAGACTCCCCTGCTGTTGCTTCAGAGGGACAAGTTTCACACCTGCAGCTGGGGCTGAAGCTCTGACAGCACAGCCCTTGTGGACCTGAGCAGGGTTCTCCTTTGCCAGGTTCCTGCCTGCCTTTCAGAGAATGGCCTGGGTTGGAAGGGACCTAAAAAACCCATCCACTCCTGCCATGGGCAGGGCTGCCCCTCACCAGCTCAGGCTGCCCAGAGCCCCATCCAACCTGGCCTCGAGTGCCTCCAGGGATGGGGCACCACAGCTTCTCTGGGCAGCTGTGCCAGCACCTCACCAACCTGAGTGAAGAATTTTCCCCCAATCTCTAATCTAAATCTCCTCCCTTTTTATTTTAAAGCTGTTTCCCCATGTCCTATCACTTGTCTTTGTGCCGTTATGGTCCTTATCCCTACATCCCACGAGAGGAGATCCCCATAGCTCCACCGTACACACCAACAACACATCTACACAGATGCCATCTACATATCTAAACCATTCGCAGCTCAATTAACAAATCCAATTCCAAATAATCAAGAGTTACTGGCACACAGAGATGAAGGAGACAGACAGGGATCGGGCAAAAAGCATACAATCTCACAGCTCCTCGCACCTCTCAGCCCAGCCTCCGGCCTCCCGGCTCACAGAGCGGCAGTCCCGCCCCCGTCCCCGCCCTCCCGCCTCCCGTTTGCCGGGCGCGGCCCCGTGCCCAGCGCGCAGCCGCACTGCTCCGAAACAGTTCGGCGCTCACGTCGGAGAAGCCGCTTCCGTTTCCAACGCCGTTTTCCGGCCGCACCTGCCTGTGCCGCCGCCGCCGCCGCTCCCCCCACCCCCCCCGAGCCGATCTGGGCCCCGCGCCCCACCGCCCCCTCCGCCATGTCCGCCGCAGGTAAGGCTCCCGGCAGCCGCCGCCCCCAGAAGGAGGAAAGGAGCGGGGCAGGCGCCGGAGAGCGCGGTACGCTCCCTCATCGTTCGCAACGGCCGCAACGCTCTCCGCCGAGCCACGCCTACCGCGCGCGCTCCTATTGGTTGACGCCGGCGCGGCGGGGCGCGCCCATTGGCTCTCGCTGCTGCCCGTCCGCGGCGCGTCACGGGCGTTGCGGGGTGGAGGCGGTGGGGGTTCGGGCGGGTCTCTGTGCTGGGGCGGGAGGAGGGCTGTAGCTGCGTGCGCCGGGCTGCGGCCAGCGCAGTGTCGGTGGTGCTACCGCTGAGCGGCCGGAAAGTAATGTGGTGACAGCGGCAGGAAGGAAAGGAGTAACCTTCATGCTGTCTCGCACGCACTGAAGCTCGTTCAGCTTGTCACTGCTTTCACGGACCTCAGCCTGCCCGAGAGGTTCCAGCCCTGTGTCCTGGTGTGACTGAGCGGCTCAGGGAGATGGGCAGAAACTGAGTTCTGGTTTGGTTTGGCTTCAGCTGAGGTCCTATCACTGTGTAGCATGGAGCAGAGGGGTGCAATTTGGCTGTAGGGTGGTAAGGAAGTGCAGGAATCCTGGTGTACTCGTTAGGGAAATATAATGAGGTGTGCATACAGTCCATCTCCTTATCTTCAGTTTTTTTGCTCTCCTGACTGGTTTTTGCTCTTACTCGGCCATATTAAACACAAAAACTGCTCTGAATACTTCAGTGGTAGGAAAAAGGTCCTGTTAATACTATTCCTCACTCATAAGCTATTATATGATGGGTATCGCAGACCCACAGAATAACCCAAGTTGGAAGGGAGACACAAGGATCATGGAGTCCAACCCCTGGCTCCATATCAAACCCAAAATCAAACCCCATGTCTGAGAGCACTGTCCAGACGCTCCTTGAACTCCAGCACTTGGGCCGTGCCCACAGCCCTGTGCATCCCGTTCCATGCCCACCGCCCTGTGGTGCAGCCCCTTTCCCTGAGCCCCAGCTGCCCTCCCCTGACACAGCTCCATGCCGTTCCCTCGGGCCCTGTCGCTGTCACACAGAGCAGAGCTCAGCGCTGCCCCTCCGCTCCCTGTGAGGAGCTGCAGCCGCCATCAGGCCTCACCTCAGCTCCTCTGCTCTGCGCTGAGCAAACTGACAGCCTCAGCTGCTCCTCATATCTTACCAAACATCAGAGGCCTCACTGAGAGGTTTGCTGTACCTTGAGTTTTGATCTCACTAGCACCTTGGCAATCTGAATATGAAAGTTAAATACACAGGAAACACGGTTTCATTACTTTTCTCGCTGTAGCAATTAGCGTTTGCTTAGTATAGAATCACACTGCCTTAATCTTGCAAGTTGCAGTCACACAGATTCTGACAACAGCATCCTCAACTAACTTTCTGATTGTCTTCTGCAGGTGAGCAACCATTCAGATTAAGGACAGTATTATTAGAAGTGTATTGACTTCACAGAATCAACATGAGGTAGATGGTACCCAGTTTTTCTGAGTGCAATATTTAAGCATCTTTATGAAATCTGTTTTTCTGTGAAAAATTTGATTTAGTTCTAGTGGTTTTGCTAGTAACTAGCGGAAACTTTGTTACTGAGGCTAGGGTATGCTTTGTTAGTATTCACTGCTTTCAGCTTCCTCAGCCTTAGGTCACCCACCTTATTGTTATCTACACTTCTGTTTGTGAAGGGAATGAGAGCATTCAGTTAGTAATGTTTGAATCAGTAGAAGCCCTTCCTTATTTCAATAGCATATGTGGTGTATTTAATTAGTGATGTGCTTGGGGAGGTTGAAAGTGGTAGTAGGGGAATAGTCTGTCAGTTCTTCTCCAGACTTCAGCTGATGTTCTGGTTGCACTTCTGTGCTCACAGCTTTCAAGATGAAAGTATGCAGAAATGTTAAAAATCTCATGTCTGCAATGAGACTGAGTTAATATGCAAGTAATTGCTGGAAGCTGGGATAAGTTGATGTTGCCACAGGAAGACATGGCTGGCACAGTTGTCCTTTGTGTTAGCTCACTTCTTTTTGTATTGGCATAAGTATCGGGCCGTAGGCATGAGGGGATCTGTATGTGGTCCTTGTTACTGCCAGCTGGCTCTTTTGTGACTTAGGATATGTATAAAATAACTCTTCTAGATTTATACTTTTTTTTCTTTGAGTAGGGTTGCAGGTTCAGTTCATCTTTTCTGTTGTGTTCTCACTACCTGAGAGGTTCTGGTCCACCCTTCCTCTTGGGTTCTTGTCAAATGTTTTCTTCTGGACATGGAGAAGAGTGCAGGGAAGGAATCATTTCCAGTTTCTATTGAGAGATCCCTGGCAGACTGGAGAAGCCATAACAGAGGCCATCTAACTGTATGCACTAGAATATTTGGAGATCTTACCAAGTACATATTAAAGTGGTGTTTATTGGTCATTTGCATACTTTGATTCTTCTTCTTTTTTTTTTTTTTTAATAACCTAGTAGGTTCATAATGTTGCTTTTTTTTTTTTTCCCCCTCTTTTTTTTTTTTCTTTAATATGCATAATCAAGTTGGATATTAGGAAAATATTCCTTCTCTAAAATAGTGACCAGCACTGGAACACACTGGAACTGCCCAGGAATGTCATTGAGTCACTATCCCTTGGAGGTGTTCAAGAAACGTTTAGATGTTGTACTAAGGGACATGGTTTAGTAGGAAATACTGGTAGTAGGTGAGTGATCTTGGAGGTCTTTTTCAACACTGGTGATTCTATGATTCTAATTTAACTAGTTATTCTAGGTAAGCAGTTCTCAGAAGCATTCGGGGATTTATTTATTTATTTATTTATTTTCAAATAAGGAGTTGTACCATATGAATGACATCAAGAAATTTGCTTATTCTTCAGTTCCTGTTGAGGAATGACTGGGCTATGTTGGCAAAATAGATTCATTGAGAAAACTGGAAAGTCTAGGAAGTGTTCTGTTCACTGCCGTTTCACTGTCAATGCGCTCGAGTCCCAGTTAACTCTCAGAGTATGTAGAATACCCAATGATGGTCAGCAATAACAACAAAAAAAATGAGTCACTTGTAATTAAATACCTGGAGCAAAGGGAAGGGAGCAGGATTTGGAATGACTTGTTTGTGTAAGAGTAAAGAAGGAGGAAGGAGGGCACTATTAAAACTGTGTACCTCTCATTCATCCCTGGTGCTCAGTCCATCTTGTACACTGAATGGGGCAGAGATCCTGTGTTAAATATTACATATGTTTATATCGCTAAAGAGTGTCACTGTGTGTGTGCTGGCTGAATTTAAGTAGTATTTCCTAGCATAGTTCAGTACTTCACAATATGATTCTTTCCATTAATTTCTTTTTCAAGAATAAATTCTGCTCTCTTGCTCTCCTTCAAATGTCAAGTCTAGCTGTAATATAGTTACTCTGAAACAAGGACAGTTTTTCTTGACATTATATGGTTAATCAGTGGGTTTACCATTCAGTGTTTCTGCATAGTATCTCACTGGAAGCTGATGCTTTGTTTGACCTGAATGCCAAATGTGCAGTTACAGTTAGCATACTGATTTCTTTGGAGTGTAATATGTAGAAGTAAAATTTCAAAACCAAATTAGTGTGTCTTACTCTATTGAATACTTAAATGATGGGGTTTTCAAAAGTGCTTGTTAGTGTTGAAGGAGGGTACTGTAGGAGGAGTTAGGTGCTAATACTTCTAGAAATTCTGCCAGTAACAGTAAGCCATTTCCTTTCTAGTGTCCATGAAAACCTCAATACATATGTTCGTAAGTGACCTCGTACTTAAATGCTAAAGTGAAAGTGTTTTTAAGTTTGCCTTTGGTAGAACTGAGGTAATGCTAGGCATGATTGAGTTGTCATCTGATAAGCAGAATAGTGTCTAGTCTTAACCTGTCTGTCTTTCTGCACTTGCAGAAAGTAGTGTAGATTACCAACCCGTGTATGTTGAGGATTATGTTGAAGCAGTGATTATTGACAGTTCTGAAATACAAGATGGAGAAAATGGCCTGTCTACATAAAGCTGCATGCCAATGGAATGAAATTTTGAAGTAAATAGTAATGTTAACCATGTGCCTCAACTTACATATGGTAGTTGCACTTCATTTTTCTTTGGTGATCTCATAGTTAGTAGGTAATTTTAATGCTGTATTTTCAGTGTTTCTGTCTTTAATGTGTCATTATTGTGTTACCTGTCTTTAAAATATGTTTTATTTGAAAGCTACTTTATAGAAATCGTTTGGCAGTGCATTTAAAAATAAGAGGCCATTAAGTTATTACTTTAGAGATCCTTATTAATAGCTATCCCACTGAAATATTACTTTGTTTAAAGATAGACTTTCTTGTGTCTACCAAGGAATGAGTTAGCTAATGATTAGCACTTAGGAAAGGGATTTGGAAAGCAAATGACATGAAAAAACATAATGTAGAAGGTGTAGCTTCTAGGTTAACAGCCAGGAGGAGCATTGCTGATAGCAGTGTGCAGTAGTAGTAAGATGACTATTCAGAGTGGTAAAATACTAGCTCTGAGTTGCCTTTGATTTTATTATTATTATTTTTAATTAACTGTTGTTATTTTAGCATCTAAGATAAAAGGCTCTCAGAAACCTTGTCCAATTTTTCTATTGGCTCAGACAAAACTCAATCATAGCTCTTTGGATTGTGTCTTGAGCAGTACTGCTAAGTTAGCAAAGAATATAACTGTAGTTAAGTGATGTTATTTACTACTTCTTTTTTTCCCAGCCTGTTGAGTTAATAGAGGTTCTTATTACTATTTCTCTTCAGCAGTGTCCCACACATCTTAGTTTCTCAGTGTTATCAGGTGCATTTGCAAAGTTTTAATTTCCTTAGTCTTCTATTTGACAATAGAGTTTATTATAATTTTTTTTTACATCTTTGATGAGGAACACGTTTCACCTTGGTCTCAGGAAATTAAGAAGTGTTTGATTATCAGCAAAGCAATCGTGACGAGTTGGTATGATTGTCTTTAAAAGGATATTTATTTATCTATTTATTTCTTTATTTTGTAATCCTTAGGCTTAAAGCTTCTGTTGTTGATTGCTAGCACTGTCTAGGTGAAACAGTATAATCACCTGTGGCCAAAACACCAAAACATGACCTAAGCTTATCTTAGCTGTTGAACATAACACTTTGAACTAAAATCTCTCTGATTGTTTTTATTCAACCACCGTCTTAGGTTGGTGTGTTATAGAGCAGTGCCTTTTCTCCAAGTCTGGTTCTGTCTGTTTAAACTTGTTTCTCTTATTTTTTGTCTCATATCTTCTTCCTACAGATATTTAGCTGGCAAAGCAGGCTCACTTGAGATACAGATCTAGGTTGTCATTCCTCTCTGCTGCTGCAGAGTATTACTGTTATGCTTTCTACTTATTCCTTTATGTCTACAAGCTCAGTATCTCTTTTACTATCACTTTTTCTTTTTTTTTGGTCATATTTTTACTTAAATCTAAATCTGGGGACTCAATCAGGAAGCTGATTGGTTTAACATCATTGCAAATAGTTCAAAAGGTAACTGCCTCAGCTAGCTAATGTTTCTTCAGGTGAAGCTAGCATTCTCCTATGTCTACAGAAAGTATCTAGTGTTTGAGAGCATACACTGTGCTAGAGCATTTATCCTGGCACCCTACGCTCCCACTTCCAGCATGTCTTCATACCTGCATTGGTATTTGTCCCACAGTACTGTCAGGTCCTAGGGTCTCAATTCTGGGGATGTGTAGTTCTAGGCTATGAATGCTGTCTTGGTCTGCATGGCAGAGGCAGAGAGATGGAGTGGTTTGAGTAAGGAAGCAAACACTGGAGCTGAGTAGGTAGGTCTGTTGCATTAAGGGCATGAGTCTGAAGCATGGACAGTGGGGAAGCGCTCCTGTTGAGTCATGAGGTTCAAAAAGGTCCCCCTTGCTTTCTTCTCCTTAGGAGTCCAGATACAGCTAGACCCAGTCTTAGTCTCATACTTGGTCACCAGTTTATGTCTAGAGGATTATGTGTATGGCCACTTACAGTCAACATTTGCCTCTCAGAGCCTTCTCAAGGACTCTTACTGAGACTGTTTTGCGAAGTCAAAAATAGTTTAATGAGCCAGTAGATAACAGATTTGGAATTGACAATGAGAAATGAATGAGCTAGCTGTGTTAATATTAAATATCTTAAGTAATTAATTAACAATTCATTCAGATATCATCCACAAAATAAAGATGGTGCAATTTCTTACCAAAAGAGGCGTCCCCGCTAACTGCCAATGCACCCAGGCCCATAGAGCGACTCCTCAATAGAGTGCTGACAGAGGGCTATATTTATATTCTTGATGAGGTCGTGTGCTGATAAGCTTTTTAGCAAGGCTTGTTATGTTGTTAATTAAAGCCAGAGGGTGTTGAGGTCAAAGTTTGGTACAGAGGCAAGGCTGCACTTCCAGCTTTACTGAGACAACACTGCACTCACTGCAAGAAACAACATCGCACTGTGGCCTCCACACAGGTATCACTCAGGCCCTAGGTGTGATGTTAAACTTCACATCTCCACGTCTGTCAGGTGCTTTGCCCACATAAGCAAGTTGTTCAACTGCTGCCTTTGTTCAAGCCCAGTGGTGCAAGATAACTATGTTTATTAAATTGCATTCTTGCTTAGTCTGGTTTCACCGATACTCTGCCAATTTATGTTTGCTCTGTAGGTTAACACAGCAAGCCTGGTAATTTCCTACGAGGTCTTAATGCTCACATGAAAGAACAAGTATTAAGCAGTTATTTATTTTTATAATTCACTTGCTGGTTATGATTCCATGTTATGCTATCTGCAGTAGTCTAGCTAGCACTGATCTCATATATGTAGAACCACAGTATCATTAAGATTAGAAAAGACTGCTATGATCATCTAGTCCAATTGTCAACCCATCACACCATGCCCACTAACCATGTCCCTCAGTGCCATATCTACACAATCCTTGAACGCCTCTGGGGATGGTGACTCCACCACCTCCCTGGGCAGCCTGTGCCACTGCATCACCACTCTTTCTGAGAATAATTTTTTCTGATACCCAACCCGATCCTCCCCTGGCATAACTTTAGACCATTATCTATCTTTCATCTTCTACCAGCTTTGCTGCATTTGTATTTGTCTGGGCTCTTTGTGTAATTTTTTTAAAATGAGACTGAACATATTACTAATTTTATCTGTCCTAGCCCTTTCTATTCTAGTGCATAAAAGCCAAGCAGTTCCCTTTGCTTTTTGATATTTTTAACTTGTTCTCATTCAGTTTGAAATGGCTTTCTCCCCTTTCATTTCTGTGATCATAGAATGGTTTAGGTTGGAAGGTACTTTTAAGATCATCTAGTTCCAACCCCCTTGCTATAAGCAGGGACACCTCCCACTAGACCAGGTTGCTCCAGAGCCCCATCCAGCGTGGCCTTGAACACTTCCAGGGTGGGGTATTCATAACCTCACTGGGCAACCTGTTCCAGCGTCTCACCACTCTCACAGTAAATAATTTCTTCCTAATACCTAGTTTGAATCTACCTTGTTCCAGTTTAAAGCCATTTTGCCTCATTCTGTTGCTAGATGCCCTTATGAAAAGTCCCACCCCAGCTTTCCTGTAAGTCCCCTTCAGGTACTGGAAGGCTGCTATAAGGTCTGCCTGGAGCTTTCTCTTCTCCAGGCCAAAGAACCCCAGCTTTCTCTGCCCATCCCCATAGGGGAGGTGCTCCAGCCCTCTGATCATCTCTGTGGCCTTCCGCTAGACTCAAGTGTTGAGGACCCCAAATGTAGTTCTTCTTTCAGGCCAGGAGCAAAAACAATCAATTTGGTTATTTTGCAAGAGTAGTAAAAACTGTCCTAGTAACTTTTCTCATGCAGACCCTTTTACTTGAGAGGAATGTGCTGTAGGTATCCACAGAAATTCTCCACCATACTTCTTCAGCTTTCCAAATCCTCATTCACAGCAGATAGAAATATAGAGACTTAGTTTTGCCTTTTTATGCCTGGTCTTGTTCTTTACAAGGTCCTGTATAGCTTTTTCAGCTTTTCTCATTTTTTAATTCCTATCTGTATAGTACTTAGCTTGATCTATAGCTAGAATACACAAAAATCAAGAGAAAACAGTTTACTCTTCATTTTCTCACAAAATTGTTTTTATTTATTTCTTTTTAATGAGCTGCCATAGCTCTTTCCTGGAAGTTTGAGGTACAAATCTGTAAATGATGGATTTCTTTGAAAAATTTTAGATTTTTTCTGCATGAACTGTGAGAAGCCATTAACATTTTTCAGGTCCTTTAAAATGCAGGTCTGGCAATCCTATGGGATTTGAAAGAAATACGAGGGAGAGGGAGAAGTGACAATCTATTTTGTTGGTGCTGGTTGGCTGGTAGTTTTGTTTTCAATGCCTTTGTTAGGGACTGGCCACAGTTGGCAGTAAAATAATTAATAGTTAAGATTTGAGAGGTCTGGCTAAGAAGGTTATCCTGAAAGAAGATTCCTCTTGAGGGTAAGACTGTAAGCTGTGTTTGTTTCCAACCCCCACCTCTGAACAAAGGCAATGTCAGCAGTACAAACTCCACCAAGAGCCACATCTCACTGGTGGTGTTCCCGGTTAACACTGCTTAAGGAGCCCTTCTCTCATGTACATGGGCATTCGGCTTTGATAGCATAGAAATGATTGTCTGGAGCCCCTTTCTCCCATTGCTTTGTTAACACTGCAGTGGCTTTCCTCACTTCTTTCCTTTCTTTGAAATAGGTTGTAGTGTGTAAGTCAGGTGTGGTGGTGTCTGCAGTTGCTTGGCAGGGAACAGGCCAGCAGAGGAGAGGAATCACTGTGAACATCCCCAAAGCATAGTCTTTTTTAGTCCGTGTTGAAAACTGCCAGGCTTTTTCATGCCTTTGAAGAATGGCCATGGTATCTTTTGTAGTTCTACCCGGTATTCCCATGGCAAGCTTAAGGCAACAGCATTAGGGCTGTGTGTTCTTAAAAGAGGAGAGTCCCTGCCCTTAAGAAGGTAGGATGTGAAAACAGAGGTGATGGGTAAAAGTAAAGCACATCAGGTAAAATTTTATTAAATGGAGTTTGGTGAGAGCTGTAGGGCTTTTACTTTAGGGTGTTGGAAAAGATTATCATTTTCAGTTGCTTAAATGTTGCTGTTGTATCAGTATTGTTTTGTTGGTTTTTTTTTAACTGTGTGCCAGGCCCACATATTGAGGTAGAGACATTTTGTGAACTGCATCTAGCAAGTTTGTGTTTGGGAATCCCTGACCTACACTGGCACACAAGAAAGCATACCTGGAGCTGATCTTCTTCTTTGTACAGTGTTACAGTGGCAGAAATAGGGAGAGGAGACCCTGTAAGTGTGGGGAAGGAACAGCAGAGGATTAAACATTTCAAATAACCAAGCAGTTGAAAGTGATGGTTAGTTTTTGTGTTTGTTGCAGTAGTTGTGTTTAAGTGACTGTGCTTGTGTTCATAATCAAATGCTAATTTCAAACAGAAAAAGCCACTGATGTTCTTTGCTTTTTCTCCTCTTTTCCAGGAAGTGAAGGTTTGTTGGTCCTGGCTGAACAAGTGAAATCACAAAAGAGCCGTTCTGCAAGTACACAGAGAGGAAATGGCCACGTCCCTGAAAAAATGGATTTTGTGTCTTTGTGTAATAAAAGAAAGCGACTTGCCCCTACTCCAGTGGGACAGAATGTGGTATGTGTAGCCAGACAGCAGCCCCTTCAGTGTTACTGGAAACATCATTTGTCCTTCCATTTTGTGTTTGTTTGATGATGATATCTGTACTGTATCTCCTAGCAAGGGTAAAATCTTGTGCTAGATACTGTACTTTGTATAGAAATTTGTCTACGCAGGAAAGCGACTTCTAATTTTTCATGTAGATGCTCATATTTTGCAGTAAAAATTTCTTTGTGCAGTTTAAGTAAATGGAGTTGGAATAGGGGTTGGCTCTCATGGATAGTTCTGATCAAAGACCAATTAGGTATATTTTTATCCTGAGGCAGGTCTGAAACTTTGTGTCAATATGCAAAAGTTAATTCCTTAAATTTTAGAGGTTGGGGCATATAATGTTCAACAAGGACTTCCTTACTATAAAGCTTGGGGGGCAGGAGACACAAAAACCATCGTGTATAATGATTCACAGAATCACCAAGGTTGAAAAAGACCAAAAAGATCATCCAGTCCAACCATCCACCCATCACCAATAATTCTCACTAAATCATGTACCTCATCACAACGTCCAAGCGTTCCTTGAACACCTCCAGGGTCAGTGACTTCAGCACCTCCCTGGACAGCCCATTCTAGGTTTTGTTGGTGGCTTTTTTGGCTTAGATTTTGGTGCGGTTTTGTTTATCTGTTTGGAAGGAGGGGGCGGGGAGGGGATAGACACAAAAACCATTGTGGGTTTTTGTCCATGGATGGGAACTGCTTCTATCCAGTAAAAGAGAAACATCAGCATTGTCCAGGTGGTGGCACTATTGATCCCCATCTAAAAGGAGTTTTCATGCAATGCCTTTCAAACATGAAACCACTTCTTTCAGTTTGTGAAGTGACATTTCTGCAGTATCTGTGTGCAGAGTTAAAAACAGGGAAATAAATGTCTGGATTTTTTCCCCATAGGTTTATTTAAATCAGTATAAAAATCTGTGTGGAGTCTCATAATTACATAAGCCTGGATAGATTGTATATCACTAACTGTATAACTGTGTAACAGTAGCTGTACCTGTATAGCTAGATGAGAAAATGTTGTCCTTAGCCTAACCAATTAAAATATATATACATATTATTATTAATATGCAACAGGTTTATTTTAAAGAAGATATAATTTTCTTAAACTAAAGAATGAGTGTATTCTTATGACTTTACTAGAGCCATGTGAATAAGATGTCTTTGTTAAATCTGTCTGTCTTGGGCCCTTTTGTAGCCAGGGAGAGAGTATAGCTACAACAGAAAGTGCCCAGGTTAGATCTCTCTGTTGTTTTTTACATTTCAAGTTATTTCTGCCATTTCCCAGATTAGAACCAGCGAAGGAGAATATGAAGACAGTGAGA